GAGACCAATTACCTCAAAACCTTTCCCAAACTGTGTGTGAGATAACACGCAGACTGCTGTAGAGCCCTGCATCCAGGACGAGCAAAGGTCTGGGTCTGGCCCCAGGGTGGGCAGGTCCGAGGGGAAACACCACCACCAGCTCACCTAGGTTCTCACCAACATCAGCACACCCACATCTCTGTGAGGGAAACAGGGAGACTCTTCCACAGTCACTGTATTTCTCTAGTTCCTCCTTAGGACAGGAGTGGCTTCCTGGAGTTCTTGAGAGACTATGTATTAATCTTGTTGAACTGATAAATGGCTTTGCTGAATTCAAGTACACCTGACCACCATCAAAAGCTGGCACTGTGGGGGAAATTCTTAAAATTAAAGCAAGTTTTAAAAAGGGCCAAGGAGGGGCTGGGGATTTAGCTCAGCGGCACAGTGCCTGCCTGGCAAGCACGAGGTCGTAAGTTCGATTCCTGGTACCAGAAAAAAAAAAAAAAAAGGGAGGGGGGGGGGGGGGAAGGAGATACAAATGACTAAGAAATAAGACTAAAGATAAATGGCATGAAAACAGTAGGGCAAACCTAATACTGGATTATAATCCAAAGTATAAATAAATACTGATAAATCTACCCTGATATAAATAACTGAATGAATAGAGAATAGACAAATAACAACTACAGGAGAATTCTAAATAATCTGTGTTGGTGCAGCTTAATTCCACTTAATGACAAGTCCAAAGAGCACAGTGTACAAAGAGGTAAAGAAATCTGACAAAGAGCACCTCACCTAGGTGACCAAGGTCAGCATCAAAGTGACAAGGCTGATAAGACACCTGGGATATAAGGTGATGACAATGGAAACTAATTTATGTGATTTACATCCCCAAAACCCATAACCCTGACGCAACCATGAGAAAAATATCAGACAAACACAAACCATGCGACATTTTACAAAATACCTAACCAGTTACTCCTCAGAACTTTCAAGGTCATGCAAAACAAGGAAAAGCTGACAAAATAATAACCAGGAGCCTCAGGAGCAAGGACAAAAGTAATATAGCATCCTGGATGGGTCCTGGGACAGAATCCAATGAGCACACACAGCAAGACCCTGTCTCAAAAAACATCCTATCAACAAGTGAGGAACTGTGGGATTTTGCTAAACCCAGAAACCATAGTATAAATAAATACCCACAAATCCACACTGATATAAGTGACTGACTAAATAATAGAGTAGACAAATCTCCCATACAGAAGAATTATAATTTGTGTAGGTCAAGCTTAACTCCACTTAGTGATCTGCCTCCCAAAAGGACATCAGGAAAACACCAGTGAAATCCAAATCAGGCGTGGGCCTTAGCTCACTGTCATGTACCAAGGTCTGTTTCTCAGCAGAGGCAAATGTACATAAGGGCTGGGAATGTAACTCGGGCCATATATCCAACCCTTAGCACAAAAAAAAAAAAATCATATGAATCTACATCAATTCTAAAGTAAGGTTTTTCTTTTTCTTTTTTTTTAAGCAGCAAAACATTAGATGGGTTTGGGGGAAATTAAAAATAAACAAAAAAAATCTCAATTGTGCAGAAGATAAATGAACAGTAAATACTTAGGTAACTATCAATCACTGACCACTACACCTTCAGAGATAATTCGTAAAACTTCAGAATATGCATTTTCAAAAAATGGACACAGGGAAAGTTTTCTAATAGCAGCATCTAACCCATGTCAAGATCCTGTCTTTACACATAAAGAACAGATCTCCACCCAAAAAAGCCAAAACAAACAAAGAGTCAAGTCGAAAATAACCAGAGACAAGCTGGGCATGGTGGCACATGCCTGTAATCCCAGCACTCTGGGAAGCTGAGGCAAGTTCAGCCTGGGCAAGTTAGCAAAGACCCTGTCCCAACAAACAAAATGGCTAGGAATCTAGCTCAATGTGAGAGTCCTGAGTTCAACCCCTAGCAAAGGTAGAGAAAGAAGAGGGGAGGGGGAAAAGGAGGAGGAAGAAGAGGGCAAGGGCAGAGGGAAGGGGAGAGAAAGAAACCAACCATTCAGAAATAATAGGAAATACTAGAAGAAAAGAAAACATAAAAATCAGGGCTGATTACTCTAAGCCATGATCTACAGTGTTTTCCAGTCATCAGGAAGGTTAAGTGATCAGAGATTGATACAACAGGGTAAGGCATTTCTTTGAGGTGGGGGTGAAAGGACAAAAGCACTCTAAAGTTGATTGGGATGACATTTTTACAATGCTGTAAATACACTAAAATCCAACTAAGCACTCTAGATACGTGAGCTGTATGGTACGAGAATTACAGGTCAATAAAGAATACAGTTATTACCAAAATATAAACAAACAAACCAAGTAGGTAGCAACTAATATTTTTCAATGAAATAAAATGGAACAGAATGTAAAGAGTACATTACAGACAATAAAGGTGAACACAACTTTGTGAAACTCCAATCCATTTTTATCAATATACAGACTATGCTGCTATACACACATATGTATTCATACATCCACAGATATGTCTATAAACACAGAGGTGATGTAACATTTATTACTATGTCACCATAAAAAGTGGAAGCCACTGTTCTAAAGAAATACAATTCTCCCTTACTACTCCCCACATGCCTTTCATTCTAATTATCATGCTGTGTCAAAAAAATCATGAGGGGGGCTGGGGATTTAGCTCAGTGGCACAGCACCTGCCTAGCAAGTGCAAGGTCATGAGTTCGATTCGCGGTACCAGAAAAGAAAAAATTGTTGAGGTTAAAATCTACTAATACATTTAGTTTGCTGGGAAATTGGCATAAATAAACTAGTTCTAAGGAAGAAAGGGTGCCAGGAGGGTGTAGGTCAGAGGCAGATCACATACTTAGTTAGCATGCATGATGCCCAGGGTTCCATCCTGGGCACCAATAATGAGAAAGGCAAGTACTGTATACTAATCAAAGCAAGAGCAAGGCACATTCGGCAAGGCCACCTGTGGGCTCCAAATGCCCAGACCTGGCTGGGCTGCAGGTCAAGCCTCCAAGGCCAGAAACACATTGCCCATTACCTCTCTGCCATCTCTCTCTGCATGTGTCACACCAAGGCACCAAGGCAAAGGCTCCTCAGAGACAACCCCACAGAGCTCCCAATTTCCTTCCTACTAACCCTCTCCTGTCAGTCGCTTTGCCTCAGATGCTCAAGTCAAAGCTGAGAAGATCTCTCTGATTTCTGCTCCCCTCACAACCCCACAACTTAGGCAACAAATAATAAACACATCCTACCACAAAAATACATCTCAAAAGTGTTCATTTTCCTCCAACCCCACAACCACCACTCTAGTCTGAATTACCATCAACATTTTTCACCTTTTTTGTTCCCATACATCCAAAACAAGAATGTTAAACTGTAATCTCTGCCATACCTAAGCACTGGTATTTTTAATAAAACTCACAGTCACTTCTCTAAATATATCAAGGCTAGGGCTACAGCTCAGTGACAGAGCAAGCACACAGCACACCCAAGGCCCTGGGTTCAATCCCTAAGACCAAAACAAAAGGAAAACAGGAAATGCATCTTTTAACAGGATGCACAGACCTGTCTTCTCCCTTTCATGGGTTCATGTGACCATCTGCTGCTATAATGAGACAGGTTTAATTAACATCAATTCAATTCAATTTTCCCATCATTTTTAAATATATGCACAGAAAAAGTTTGTTCATATAAATAGATGCTAAGAGAAGGAATTTTGTTAGCAATGGCCCTATATTTACTCAGTATTTTATAAAAAGAAAAAAAAATACACAATGAATTTTCATTAGAAATAATCAAAGCTCCCAATTTGACTGCATCCTCCTTCAATTTTATTGAAACGACAGATCTGAAAACCTCCAGAGTTCCAAATGAATCCGTCTTCTTATCAAAGTTAACTACTTTTTCCTGATCAGTACCAATATTTCAAACAGCCCTTTTGTTTGCCCAAGGTGAAGTAAACAGCAGGACTAGATTTTTTTTACAGCGTGGAGAAGTGAGATTGTGAAATCAGAGGTAAAAACTGGTAACATACAGCATCAGGCAGATCAATTTTAGGAGAATATCTGAGGATCCAGATGCCGAGTCCTTGAAAGTTATCCCTGAAAATTATCCTCATGCTCTGGTACCTTGCAGAATCTTCGGGTAGCCCAAGAGACCAGATTCCCACGTGAACAACTCACAAAGACTGCCTTGAGACCAAGATACTTGTTAAATATGGAATTGCATTGTTAATGTTAGTTCTTTGCTTATAATCCATTAAGAATTTACACCACATTCAGCCAAGCTGGTGGCGCACACCTGTAATCCCAGCACTCAGAAGGCAGAGACAGGTGGCTTGCCTCAAGTTCAAGGCCAATGTAGGCTACATAGTGAGATCCTGTCTCAAAGGAAAACACACACAAAAAATTTCACATCACATTTAAAAATGAAACCCAAACTTCTTACTGTGGCCACCAAGGTCCTACACCTCATCCCACTACCCCACATTCCAACACATGCTTTCAGATTCCCTGTGGGCCTGCCTCTCCTCCTACCAAGACATTAGCCCTGTGCGTGCTGTCTGGCTGCTCCCGTTTCCCCCACATTTCAGGTGGAGTGTCACCTCCTCAGAGGAGCGCCCCACGGGCAACCCAGATACTTCATGATTCCCCACCACAGCGCTTCGCTCTCCAAGTTTCTAGCAATGACTGGTGCCACATGCAAGGCAGGTCTTGTTCTGCGTCAGGTACGGCACTCAGCACAGTGCCCAACCGCAACAGATGTCTGGGAACAAATGGGGAAAATGAGGAACTGCTTCCAAAAGCTTTCTGCACTGCCTCATTTGAAAACAAAGGTTAATTACTAGAGAACACAGACTGACGAAGGCAATAAAAACTAAAGAGGTAAGAGTCAAATATAAGCAAAGACATAATCAAGAACTTCACAGAGCATTCCAAGATGGCAGAGACATTTACCATGCAGGCATTTCGCGCCCATTTCCTTACCTCTGTTCTTGAGAAAACTCCTCCACATCCTCTTCAGAATCACCCTATAGACAAAGAACATGCTTTAACAGTTGTTTTAAACAAACATAAGTCACCAAAAGGAGTTCTTCAACTCTCCAAGGGATAATGAACTTGTAATGAATGTCTACAAGAGTGACTGGGACCACAGATTCTCATTAAAGAATGACACTATAGTGACAAGAACAAAAATTGCCAAGTGGTTCCCTTAAGCATTCACTATAAATAAATATTCAACTGTTTGGGTTTTTTGGTTTGGGGGAGGGTTTTTTGTTTATCTGGTTTTTTGGTTTTTCAAGACAAGGTCTCACTATGCAGTTCAAGCTGGCCTTGAACTGAACTCACAGAGATCCTCCTGCCTCTGCCTCCCGAGAGCTGAGATTACAGGTCTGCACCACCACGCTCCGCTATCTATCCATTTAAAACCACAACTTATACTGGGGATACAGATCAGCGGTACAGTGTGAGGTCATGAGTTCAATTCCTGGTACAAATAAAACACAAAAAAGAATTTCCCAATAAAACCACAACCTAAACACAGTCTTAAAATTAGACATTATTTCTCTTCAAGAGCAGTTTTTAATGTTTACATTTAATCACATAAGATGACATTTAATGCCAATTAAAATCCTCCAATATAGAAAATCTATTGCTTAGCTCAGAATCCTCTTAAAGAATACCTGATATGTTTTGACATCAATGTAAAAAGCCTGATAATGACATAAATATCTCACTCTAAAGCTCCTCCAGAATCATCTGCTAAGCTTACGGGGCAGAAATCTGAAGACGTGGAACTCAGCTGAGGGCAGTAAGAAGGGCAACTGAAACACAAACACGTGAACCAGGAATAAAAGGCCCGGCCAACTCCACAGTGCTGCGCGCTGCCGGACAGCAAGCTCCGGATGTGTTATTCTTTCTGGAAGCTCACCACTGCTGGCTTCAGCAGTAGATCCGGACTCTTCTGGTTCCCCTGGCCTCTCTCCAGCCCTCTCTTCTGTGACCACCAGTCCCCCAGGCCAGACTCCTGTGCACAGGGTCGTAGCCTCAAGACACTAATCCCTCACTCCAGCACACCTGAAGGATCTCCGTAACCTGCCCATCTCTCCTCCAGACCAGAACCATGCAGTCATCTTCAGTGACTAGCATTGGAGGGGATTCCATAAGCCTTATAGGGTAGACTGCTTTACAACTCAACAGACCTATTTCCAAACGCCTCCAGGATGTGTAAATCAGCCCGAGCTGGGCTCCCTACAGAGCTAGGGCACACGCCAGCTTGCCAAGATCCATCCCCTGCTGAATGGCTTCAGAGTTAAGCCACCCCTTTTGTGCTGAAGGTGCCATTACACTACCTATCCCCCAGGAAAACCCTGGGGACACCCTGTATTGTTCCCTTCTCTCCGCCTCCAACAGAAGTTCAGGCTCCTCCTTTCTTCTCTACCCCTTCTGTCAGCAAACAGCCCAGAATATCAACTTCCCAGGCCTGAATTACCATGACATTCAGGACTTTCTGCCATGCTTCAAGAACGCTGCCTCTACTATGACCCATATAACACTGCAAGACCAATCTTCCTCCATGTCAATCATTACTGTCCATATGCTACAGACCTAGCACTCAACACCATGGTATTGATCCCCACTCAAGAACCTACAAAGCTCCAGCTCTGGAGATAAATATTTCCTGGGTTCAAATCCTACTAGTGCCACCTGCTTGTCGCCTTAGGCAAGTTATCTAACTGTCCTGCACCTCAATTTCTTCAGCTGTAAAATCAGGTCATAATACTTCCTAGTTTTTAGTGTATAGATATGCGTTAACTTGTACAACATAAAGGTAGTATTCAACCCATGATTTTTTTTTATGTTGATGGCAGAAATACATTAAAAATAAGTCTCTAAGACAAAGACTTCCAAACACTAGTCAATGATTCACTGACTAGAGTAAGATGCTATTACACAACACAGTGCCTGAGATAATAAAAAGAACCCAGATGTTCAGCATACCATTTCCTGTTTCACTTTCTGCCAATTTCCGTTATCTATACCCTCAGACCTAAGTGGGGGGTCAACAAGATTCTTTTTTTCTTGTGTTGCTGGGTATGTAACTCAGGGCCTCATGCACACTAGGCAAGCTCTTCCACTGAGTTCTACCCTCAGCCCAAAACATGGCATTTTTAAAGGCAGAGGCTTTTCAACAGGCAAGCAAATGGTCAGTGTCTGCTGAATGAATAGACAGGCCAGTAGGGCCCTGAGGCAGCCTAGGCCAGCCCAGGCTGGTCCTGTGTCAGATAACAGCTACTCCTAGTCAGCACCCACCTCCACCTCCCAAACCTGCTAACAGGAGCATTAGGAGTGAGCCTTCTCAGACAAGTCCGAGCTCATTAAGAGGTGGCGCTCTAGATTGTCCTTGCTGGGAAATCAATATGTAAAACATTTCGCCTGCCGACCTCAAAACTGCCTAACCCCATAAACTAAGAAGCAGGGCAGGGCGCTGACAACCACCTCTCCTCCACTAGAAAGCCCTCAAGGACTGACTCTGGATGCTGAGGGGAAGCGGAACATGGGGGCCTTTGCGAGGACCACCTCACCTTCAGGCCTCAGCAGCACAGACCTTCTTAAGGGAAACCAGGGTGAGGCAACAAGGACATCCGAGACAAAGGGAGAAACCCCAGATATGCAAATCACTACAAGCAGCTCAAGGAGGGAGAACTGTCGGGGCTGGAGGTGCAGCTCAATGGTAGAGCACTGGCCCCGCTCGCGAGGCCAAAAGTTCACTGCAATGAAATAAAAAGGGGAGAGAGGATGGCAACGTGGCTGCAGGTGAAGAGTGGGGAAGGACTTCCCCAAACCACCAGTAGGGCAGGGACATCTGTTCTTTCATTCAGCAGATAACACAAAGTCGGGTTCACTCAGCCAAGGGTCAGGCAGAAGAGTGAGTCCCGGAGGAATGACCAAAGGAGAAGACAAGGTAAGACTGCCGAAAGCTCAAAAAAGGCCAGAGCAGGTCAAAGGGCCATCGCCCTGTGAATGGGTCACAGGAAACCAGAAAGGGAAGGAAGAAGGTGCATAAAGCAATATCTTGCATATGTGCAATTACCTCGAGACAATAAGTGAATAAAAATAGTTGGTTTCTATGTCAACACCATTCTGGGTTTATTGTGTTAAAGTATACCCAGCTGGGCATGGTGGTGCACCCCTGTAATCCCAGTGCTTGGGAGGCTGAGGCAGGAGGATCGTTGCGAGTTCGAGACCAGCCTGGAGCACAAAGTGAGCTAAAGGCCAGCCTGAACTGGATAACGAGACTCTGTCTCAAAAAGACCAAAAAAATAAAAAAAAATAAGGTATACCCGGAGGAGAGGAAAAGCCTGTAAACCTAAGAATAAAATCACATTATTTCCCTTCCCTCCTCTGCTATTGATAAACAGTTTTATGTCATTACATCCAATAACTGTATAACATAAAATACTACAAACAGGGATTTTTTAAGGTACAGCACTTGCCTAGTATGCATGGCCTCCAGCACATTTTTCACGAAATAGGAATAATGTAACTTTTTATATAACCATAGAAGCATAATACTGAGCTATCTGCAGTCCCCTCAAAGCAGGAAAGCTGCATGTCTCCTAAGGAACAACCCTATCGATCAGCTGAGAAACCACCAAATTAAGTAACCTACATCAGGTACTCAGGAAGTTCAAACACTTCATCCTCTCAAACCCTGTGAAATCAGCACTATCATTTCCCCTACTTTCCAGAAGAAAACACAGAGGATAAAGAAGTAAACTGGGACTGGTATGTGCTCAGTGGCAGAATGTGTGCTGAGAGGTGTGAGGCCCTGCCTTCTGTTCTCAGCACCAAAATAAGTGCATATACAAAAGAAGTAATGGACAGAGGCAGAAAGGAACATAGGATTCATATCCAGGAAGCCTGGTCAGGAGGGTCTTCAATTGTCACCTTCGATTTTATTCATGAGTTATTCAAGTTCTTAATCACTTAAGAGCTCCATCAGAAAAAGGGGGAGAAAAATCAACAGCAAACTTTCTAAATAAATGTATAAATAATTAATGCTGGCAAATACCTTAGTATTATGTTTATTGAATGCCACATCCTCTGATACTATTTCACCAATTACTGACAACTCAGGTTCTGACACCATCTTCTAGTCTTCCTGAATGAAGGAACTCAACCTACCCATAACTGAGCAGAAAACCCTCATATTTAAATAAGATCTATAAATATTCTCTTTTCAACGGAGTCCTTATGATACACATGAGGAAGCATTTCTGAAAAAAAAAAAATGCAAAACTCTTTGAAAAGAATTCCTTAAAAATAACTTTCTTCTACCCAGGTGTGGGAGCCCACACCTCTCATCCCAGCACTTCGGGAAGCCGAGGTAGGAGGACTGCAAGTTCAAGCACAACCTGGGCAACTTGATGAGACTGTCCCAAAATTGTAAAAAAAAAAACAGCTGGGGATGTAAATGACCTGTGTTGAATCCCAAGTATCACAAAAGAAGAAAGAAATGTTCTTCAGAACTCTCTGCAGCTATGAGATACTGTACACATATACCCCATATGCCTGCCCAGGCACATGCAGGGTAAGATAGCTTCTAAAAGATCCTACCTAAAGACCAAGTATTTAGAAAACTATTTCAAATGCCAGTTTCATTTTCATTATAACTTTGATTAAAATAGCTCATAAATGCCTCTATAATGAGAATTCCAAAAAGCCTCTTAATTTCTGTTTTAATCAAAAACTACACACATCAACAAAATCAAACTAGAATTAAACATTTTACAAAATGACTGTGAAGCGCAGAAAGACAGCAAGTAATTCTATCACAGACCTTGACATTTTCATGTCTGGGCACATTGACTACATCTTCAACTGATGCTACAAGTGAGAGTCTAAGACCTGCTCTGCTTTCAGTCTGGGTTGGTTTCTCACATTAAGCAGTGGTGGAGCCTACAAGTGAGTGAAATACAAATACACAAAGATATGTATGCCAGACCTTCTTAGCCAGAGCAATTTTGCTCCCTCCGGAACACCTGGCAATGTCTGGAGACATTCTCAACTGTTAAAATAGGGGCATGGAGTGCAGCACCGCGGCACGTGCCCACAGTCCCAGCTGCCAGGAAGACTGAGGCGGGAGGACAACGGCTGCCCTAGAGTGGGAGGCCACAGCAAAGCCTGCCTCACGACAACAAAAAAAACAAACAATCCCCACTCACAAAAAAAAAACCAACAAAACCTAGGGGAGTTAAAGAGGAAGCAGGGAGAGCCCCTGGCATCCAGGCAGCAGCCACGGGTGCTGTTCCACATCCTACACTGCACAGGTCAGCCCCTCAAAACAAAGACTTCTCGGGCCCCAAATGTCACTTGTTCGACTGCCAAACAACTCTAATGTTCATAAACACAACTACTTTAAAGTCCATACGCCAAGTGCTTAGTGCAGTTCTCTCAGAAGTTTTATTCTTTTTATCTTTCTTTATTTGCCAAACCTTGGACAACACACGTGTATTATTTACAATCAGGAAAAAATCCATCAGGGGAGAAACTCTTAGAAGAAAAGACTACTTGCAGGCCGGGCTTGTTCTGAGAGGGCTGGTCTCAGGCAGCCTGCCGGCCTTCAAGAAAGGGCCAGGAAACTTCTGCTCTAAAATCACCTCCATGCCTCGAAGCTGTTACTCATTACTCCTGGTCAAACGAGTATTCCAAACATCTCAAAACCAGCACTCCCAAGGCTTCACATAGGAGAAAGCTGAAATGTAAAACTGCACAGTCTCTCCAGTGAAGTTACAACTACACACCCTGTTTTCAAGGCTGCCGCCAACACGGGAAGTAATGAACACTGAAAACATGACCACACACAAGCTGAATATCCTCTAATTCAACACCCCTCCATGCATTTTGGGTCCCTACTGCTGCTGGTGAAAAACAGCCACCTCTACAGTATTTTTAAATGTCGCTTTGCAGTCAAGGAAATTTCTCGTACAAATTCGACTTTATAATCAACACAAAAGCTTTGCAGTAATGTAGCCACTGCAGCTGGAAGCCCTCTATGCTACAGATTCCCAGTAAAATGTTAGTAATTATTTTTCCAGATGCAATCATAAAAATCATCATTCGGGGGGGAGAAAACCTGAAATTCAAGTTCCTAAGTGGGTGTACTCCGACAGGAATTAAAGACGCTTGGAGAACATCCAAGATTACAATCCTTTAAAGTCACATCTTCACCCCAAAGCTACTACTTAACGTTAACAGCATGAACCACGAACACTGACCAAATCAATACTCCTGCTGTGCCAACCTCCCAGCCCCTCGCCATCCGCACCACAGCCGCCATCCGCACCACAGCCGCACCGAGAGCGGCGGGGATCCACAGCGAGGTCCCGGCCGGCGGCCGGGCGCCCACCTCCTGCGCCGGGCGGCCGGGCTCCCGCCCCGTCACATGGTGCGGAGGCGGCCGCCGGCCACCGCTGCCAGGTGTTCAGGCTCCGCCGACAGCGTATTTGCCTTGCAAAGAGGCCCGAGCGCCCGGCCGGCCCACGCCCGCCCGCCGCCGTCCTCACCTGAGTGGGCAGCAGGAGCTCCCCTTCCTCCGCCTGCCACAGCTCCACCACGTTCGGCAGGGGCTCGATCGCTGCACCGACAGCAGAAACAGCGCGTTCGTAAAGCACGGAGGGCACCGCTCCCGCCCCGCGCCCCGCCGCGCCCC